TTAAATTATACGAAACCATAAGAATATTCATGAGTTTTTATTATACGATATCCTTTTTTTTCGGTATAACCTGACTGTATATTTAGTATATGAATATTAATAGTGCCATTTTGGCAGACTAAACATCGAATCCATTACTTATCTCCACATAAGCTTCAAATGCATCAACATATTGGATATTTTCTAAAACTAGTTTCATTTTGCCATATGTCTCTTCCATGTTTGCAGAATGGGCCAATGGGACTAAAGGAAATTGGTGACCGTTATGCCATAGAACAGATTTAAGGCTAACTTTAAATAAGTCCATAAATATACACCATTTTTCTGGTGTATGCTTATGATCTAAATGTATTTATCACTGCTGAAATTTCATTAAAATACATTAACTTTCCTTCTTGGAATAGAAAAATTTAATATCATTTAGCCTGTTGCTAAAATAAAATACTTTAGTACTTTTGCACAGTAAGTTCTAACCCTTAAGCGCAATCACACCAGTTCCACTTGTATTTTAGATACATTCAAACCACAAACCAAACAGCTAGGGTCACTGTGAGCAAGTAAATAAGGCTCGGTGTCTATTCAAAAACTAGGATCTGGTATATATATCTTATTTCTAATCTGGTTCAGGATATGTACTGTCTTGAATTTCTATGGATGGTATAGGACCTGGTATTGCTAGCTTATGACTATGTAGGTCGGATCACAAGTAGGGATTTTAAAGTATGTTTTAACCTTATATTTATCACTTTTGTACTATTTAAGCAAAAGTAACAGTTTAAAGTATGATCCAATGGTTCGGTACGCACGATTGAAACTGCAAACGACTGTGACGAAAACTATTGGTCGATCTAGTCAACTGTCTACAGTACGTTACACGAGATATGTGTGAGTCCAGTTTTTGTTCTGGTTATCTACCTTACATCCAAAACAAAGTTCATCAACACTTTTTTATCAAAGTGTTTTGTTATGTTTAACTATTTGCCCAACACAATCAGTACCTTCTTCAGTACTCTGTATTATATCAAATACTATACAAAATAAAATAAAAATAAGCTGACTCAGCTTACAAAAATGCTATTAATAATTTTCAAACGAAGTCTAAAAGGTATTATTCGAGAGAAATATTCTTTGTGAAATATTACCATTTCTTATAAGCTCATTCCATTTCATAAATAATATCCAAAATATTATGGTGTATTTATGTTTATATTCAAATGGCACTTCTAGATATTGTGATAAAAATTGGTAGTCGGGACTGCTCTTAAAATATTAAAGGTATAGCCCTTCTTCTTCTTCTTAAAGTGCCCTCTCCTCAATGGAGGTTGGCTACTACAATTTTAAACTCTTCTCTATTTTCAGCTGTTCTTATTAGCTGTTCAAAATTTAGCCCTGTCCATTGTCGGATGTCTTTTCCTTCCTAGGCCTCTCTTTTCCTCGATTTTTCCTTTTACTATAAGTTGGGCATATTGGTACTTATTATTTCTCAGCATGTCGCCTAGGTATGATGTTTTTCTAACTTTTACTGCGTTAAAAAGTTCTCTTTCCTTGCCTTTTCTAGGCAGCACTTCTTCGTTTGATGTATGCGATATCCATGAAATTTTGAGTATTCTCCGGTAGATCCACATTTCAAAAGCCTCCAGTTTATTTACGGTTGATGTTTTAAGGGTCCACGTTTCAACTGCATATAGGAGAGCCGACCAGACGTAGCATTTTGATAAACGTAGTGAATTTCGAGTTTTATTCGAGAATATCCCATCGGTCAAGTAGATATTTAATTTATTTATCTTTAAGGCTAAATATTTAAACTATTAAACTTGCTCTATTAATGATGCTAGACACATTTAGCAAATGTCATAGCATTCTTTGACTTAAACTATCTCAGAAGTTGCGTTTTCATCAAAATAATTTACAAAATAAACGTTTGAAAAAGGGGTACGTTTTTTACTTATAAACAATTGTAATAGCCACAAGTCACCTTGGTAATCTGTGGTAATAAATTCTGTATTTTTCCAGCTACATCCTTGTACGTACAACCATTGGATAGTTGGTAAAAAAACTCACATTTAAAAAAAACCTTCTATGACCAATAGGAACAAAGTTAGGGACTTGGCACGAATTTAAAAGACGGTGGTAATTCCTCGATGTTTAAATGTATCAATAACATTTTATTTTGTTAATAAAAAAATTAATAAAATTTATAAATTAGAGCAAAAAGCAGTATTTTGCAAACAGCTCCGTAAATTATTTATCAATTTTTATTAAAAAAAACGGGAAAATAAAGATATTCTTGATGTAAAAATATGATATAAATGTTGCTTATGTAAAATATAAGGAAACATACTTATAGACAAAAAATTAAATTTTTACCATAAATTATTGTTTAAACAAAACGCAAGATAAAAATACCAGTACTTTTTCATCTATTCGTCATTTAGTAACCCCCACCTATGTCTTTGAAGCTTCTTCTTCTTCTTCAAGTTCCACTCCTATCGGAGCTTGGAAATCATTCTGGCAATTATAATTTTATTGGTTACTCGCCTGAATAGTTCAATTGAACTGCATCCAAACCATTCACGGAGATTGCGTAGCCACGAGATTTTACGTCTTCCTACTCTTCTTCTACCTTTGATTTTACCCTGCATTATATTCCTTAGTAGTTCGTACTTTTCACCTCTCATGATGTGCCCCAAGTGTTACAATTTTCTGATTTTTATGGAATTTAAAACTTCGCATTGTTTTCCTAGCTGTTCGAGAACTTGTTCGTTTGTTTTGCGATGCATCCATGATATTTTCAGAATACGTCGGTAACACCACATTTCGAATGCTTCTAGGTTTTTAATGTTGGATTTTTTAATTGTCCAAGCTTCAACTCCATGCAAAAGGGTAGAGAAAATATAACATCGAAGCATTCTTATCCGGAGCGATATATTGGTATCGCGATTACAAAAAAGTTTTCTCATTCTATTAAAAGTTGACCGCGCAATTTCAATGCGGCATCTTATTTCTTTTGTCTGATCAGTATCTTCTGTGATCCATGCTCCAAGGTATTTGTTAATAAAAAAATTAATAAAATTTATAAATTAGAGCAAAAAGCAGTATTTTGCAAACATCTCCGTAAATTATTTATTAATTTTTATTAAAAAAAACGGGAAAATAAAGATATTCTTGATGTAAAAATATGATATAAATATTGCTTATGTAAAATATAAGGAAACAAACTTATAGACAAAAAATTAAATTGTGACCATAAATTATTGTTTAAACAAAACGCAAGATAAAAATACCAGTACTTTTTCATCTATTCGTCATTTAGTAACCCCCACCTATGTCTTTGAAGCTTCTTCTTCTTCTTCAAGTTCCACTCCTATCGGAGCTTGGAAATCATTCTGGCAATTATAATTTTATTGGTTACTCGCCTGAATAGTTCAATTGAACTGCATCCAAACCATTCACGGAGATTGCGTAGCCACGAGATTTTACGTCTTCCTACTCTTCTTCTACCTTTGATTTTACCCTGCATTATATTCCTTAGTAGTTCGTACTTTTCACCTCTCATGATGTGCCCCAAGTATTACAATTTCCTGATTTTTATGGAATTTAAAACTTCGCATTGTTTTCCTAGCTGTTCGAGAACTTGTTCGTTTGTTTTGCGATGCATCCATGATATTTTCAGAATACGTCGGTAACACCACATTTCGAATGCTTCTAGGTTTTTAATGTTGGATTTTTTAAGTGTCCAAGCTTCAACTCCATGCAAAAGGGTAGAGAAAATATAACATCGAAGCATTCTTATCCGGAGCGATATATTGGTATCGCGATTACAAAAAGTTTTCTCATTCTATTAAAAGTTGACCGCGCAATTTCAATGCGGCATCTTATTTCTTTTGTCTGATCAGTATCTTCTGTGATCCATGCTCCAAGGTATTTGTACGAGGATATTTGTTCAATTTCTGTATTATCTAGTACTAGCTTAACTTTGATGTTTTGTGCTTTTGTAAATACCATAAACGTGTTTTTTTCAAATTTATTTTTGGTCCATAATCGTTGCAATATATATTTAGTTGTTCAGCAAGGTGTTGCAGTTCTTCTAGTGTTCCTGCCAGAAGGACGGTGTCGTCAGCATATCTTATGTTATTAAGTGGCTCACCGTTTATTATAAGGCCCTCACTGATCTCGGCAAGCGCTAATTCTGAGATGGCTTCACTGTATAAATTGAATAAGAAGGGTTATAAACTACACCCTTGGCGGACCCCACGGCGAATCTGGATATCCTTGGTCAGTTCGTTTTCAACTTTCACTTTTGCTGTTTGATTCCAATAGAGGTTACAGATTATTCTAATGTCCCTACTGTCTATGTTTTTATTTAATACAATTTCTTCAAGTCGATTATGCTGCACTCTGTCAAATGCCTTCTCAAAATCAATGAAACAGGCATATACTTCCTGATTAATATCTAAGCATCTCTGCGAAAGAACACTTAACGCAAACAGTGCATCTCGTGTTCCCAGTCCTTTCCTAAATCCCATTTGTGTATTACTTATGCCTTCATCTAATTTCTTATGTATTCTATTGTGAATTACTTTTAAAAACAATTTCAAGACATGACTCATTAAGGCTATGGTGCGATGTTCATTGCACTCCTTTGCATTGGCTTTTTTGGGAAGCAGTATGAATGTTGATTGGAGCCATTATTTAGGTATTATACCTGTTCTGTATATGGTATTGAATAGATCCAAAAGAAGATCAATAGATTCAGTATTCACAATTTTAAGTAATTCGATAGGAATTTCATCAGGCCCAGGAGATTTACCACCTTTAGCTTGTTTCTGAAGCTTCAGATATCTACAAAAAATTTTGCCGTGAAATCGATGATTTTTGCATAACCAACCTGGCTAGTATATATTTTAACAAATTCATGAACTTAAAGAATTTGTGTTAATTAAACAACTAATATATTTACGCTAATATATTATGTACTTATATAATAAAATATTTCTTACCTACGCAAGCTTCTGTAGACATAATAAATTTGTCAGGATAATCTCTGTGAACATCGTCTAATAAGTAGGTATTGTTTGGGAAATCCATGTAAAAGTGTGTGGCAAATCCGTCTATGTACTTTGCAGTTAATTCGTCTCTGATGATCTTAAAAAGACAAAAGATACATAACTTTCCAAAATAACAAATGGAATTATTTTTTATATATGTGAGTCATAAGTAAATAAGTGTTGTATATGTAGAAACCGAGAAAAAGTTGGAGCGAAGGAATAAATAAAGAACTGAGAGATAGGGCCATAGAAGAAGACCTATGGAACAACCGGTCAAAGTGGCGACTGGAAGCCGGAAAACGGCGGAGAACGTTATAAACTGACAAGTAGTAGTAGTAGGGACTGATTGGGACTGAAAAACATTCCAACAATAATGTTTAACGGTGCACAATGTCTCAAAAAATAACCTCTGAAATAAACAAATTTTTAATAGATTAAACAACTTTTAAACTTATTGATGGATCTAGCTGAAATATTAAGGACTTGTTAAGCACTACAAGATACCTTTTAAGAGAAATCACAAAACTGTTAGTACATTTTTTACCAAAGTTAAAACCAATTCACGATCTGGCCTTATTTTGCAGCTTTTAAAGTAACAAATTGATTTGTTGAAGTGAAAGTGAAAAATTTCAGAATACGCCATTTTTAAGGTTTTTCTAATTCTGAATAGATAAATGTTTATATTTAAGTGTAAATAGAATATAATGTTTAACAATGGGCGAAAATTCGTAAAAATCACATTTTTTTTACTAAGTTGTCAATAACTAAAAAAAGACCTACATCATTCGAAAAAATATATGAGTTTTCTTACTGTATGTATATCTTACCATAACAATAAAATTAGCTGGCTATTATGAACTTCTGAATATGGTTAAATTTTGATTAATATCCTAAAGTAGATTTAAAATGACAAATGTCGGTAAAGGTTCTGAGCAGAATAGAAGAAACAACATCTTGCCAGATTCTAACAATGCGATATAATTAACCGAATATCTTACTAATTAATAAACTAACTATTACTCTAGCTATGTCTTGTAATAATATTATGCTTACTATGCAACTAATGCGAAAGCAATATAAAATGAAAAATACCCAAACGATACCAATTACCGCCTCTACTCATGTCATTTTGAACCTTATAGGGAATATAAAACAGCTGAATATTCTTGAAAATTTCTGTAATACTGTTCAAAAATTAGTAATACTCACGGCAAAAGAAGCATACGAAAATCGATGCCTGTGGAACAAGGAGCTTTAATTTAACTTACCTCTGGAACGACTCTCAATAAACTTCTTTGATCATCTACAGTCATCAGTTTAAGATGGTTATGAGCTGACGCTTTAATTGTAGGTCCTAGGTAATCCCTGATCCAAATTCCCTAAAATATTTTTTACGTTAATTCTTATAAAAAGCACCAATAAGCATGTCATTTTATTTTGTTAAATTATCAACAACCTCTTACACGAGACTTGTGTTTATAATTTAGAAATATATCTACATAATATGTTGTATCATTCTAAAGCAAGCGACCGAGACAAATAACGGAGACAGGCGACAGATAGGCGAGACAGATTATAGTCTATGTTTTGTCATAATGCTGTAAGCTGTATTTATCTATGTCTTTTTCTTGAGCTCAAGAGGAATACAAGCGATAAACGACTGTCGCCTATTTGTGTTACGACAGTCTCGTTCAAGAAACCGGTGGCTGTGCGAAATTTTTGTGTTAGCACTGATTTGTACATGGTGAAAAATAATAAGCTTGGAAATAAAATTTCATGACAAGAAAGACGAACTTCGAACCCACCACTATTTGATCCTCAAATTTTTCTTCAAGTCTTGTTTTAAATTTAAAATTTATACACCTTCATTTCTTGTTATTAAGTATGTAAAACGAAAAATATATCGTCATTTTCCTTTTCCAAAAGCCGTTTAAAGAACAGTTTTAAAGCCGTAACACGCCCTTTTTCTACATCTGATGTACTCAAGTATAGCGTTTTGCTTACGTCGCTTGCCTCGAATCTAGAACGTCGTTACCACGTTTAGGGGACGTGCCTCGTCAAGAAAGGGTCTTTCTTTTTTTGCTGGGGTTTTGGAGGGTAGAACAGCGTAAACAAAAGTGGATCTGTCAGTATGCTGCTATCGGAGAGGGGAAAGGTGACAATCTCGTACACACTTTAAGTAGAAAAAGTTTACTTGGTGTCTCTTCAAGGACAAATTAATTCTACATTGGACTTATTTATCATCAAAGATATCATCGTAGAAGATGTAAGAACTCACTTCGAATGCAGCTGCGATCACATACTAGTGACAGGAAAAATGACTTCAAGAGTACACTTACCAACAGTGCAACCAGAAGAAAAAAAGAAATGGAAAGAATCACACTGCCAAAATACAAAAGACAACTTAAACAAATGAAAATAAAGTAAGAAATCCAATCAATAGAAGAAGGAAAATTCAACAAGCTATGGAAGACAACAGTCCTAAAGCAGTGACGAATAATAGAGTACCAACCATACTGAACGAGCTGAAGGACATTATTAAGAACAGAAATAGGACCAGAAGAGCTTTCCAGGGGACAAGAAGGCAGGAATTCAAAGACTACAGGGGATACAGGAGGTAGAAGTAAAAGGAACTCAAGAAGACAAACTTTTTGAAGAAATAAGAGTAAGACTCAGCTCACAGAAAACAAGTACCACAATATCATACGGAAAATAGAAGAAAATGATGAAAACGACATAACACGGCAGTATTCGTATTCGTAACTTTATATTGATATCACGATTGCAAAAGAGTTTGCGCATTTTATTAAATACTGATCTAGCGATTTCTATTCTACATCTAATCTCTTTTGTTTGATCAGTATCGTCTGTGATCCAAGCACCTAGATATTTATAACAGGGGACACGCTTAATCGTTGTATTGTCTATTACAAGATTAGCTCTGATGTTCTTTGATTTCGTGATTACCATAAATTTAGTTTTTTTCAAATTAATTTTCAAGCCATAACTGTTACAGTATATTGAGACTTTGAACGAGATGTTGTAGGTCTACTAGCGTTCCCGTTAGGAGAACTGTATCGTCAGCATACCTTATATTGTTGATCATCTCACCATTTATTATCAGACCAAGATCTTCTTCCTCGAGTGCTTGTTCACAGATAGCTTCACTATACAGATTAAATAAAAGTGGCGATAAGATACATCCCTACTGGTCTCCTCGACGGATTTGAATTTCTTCTGTTAGTCTGCCCTCAACCTTGACATTTGCTGTTTGATTCCAATATAGATTGCATATAATTCAAATATCTCGGCTGTCTATATTTTTCTTTATTAGAACTTGTCTTAGTGGTTCATGTTGTACTTTGTCAAAGGCCTTTTCGAAATCAATAAAGCAGGCGTAAATTTCTTGGTTCATATCTAAGCATCTCTGTGAGAGAACGTTTATTGCAAACAGAGCCTCCCTTGTACCCAGCCCTTTTCTGAATCCCATCTGAGTGTTACTGATGTCTACGTCTAATTTCCTATAGATCCTATTATGGATTATTTTTAAGAACAGTTTTAGAGCATGACTCATCAAAGCTATAGTACGATATTCGTTGCATTCCTTTGTATTTGCCTTTTTTCTTTCCTTTGCCATCTACTCCTATCTGCTCTAAAAAAGATGGACGTGTGAGGGCGGCTTGTAAAAGCAAAATATCTACGCCCTATAACACGCCTTGTATCGTAGATACCTGTCTAGAGATTTAATCATAAAGGTCATGCACAAGGATTATTTAGCAACTTATCCTTCTAATTAATGCTCGTATGAGTTTTATCAAAAGCATCTTAAAAATAAAAACATATCTTTCACAAATCTGGTCCATGAAGAGTGCGAATTGTGTGAAGCATTTCAATTACACGATAAAGAGCATAATTCTGAGAACTTGACTTCAACATGTAGTGACTATAATAGCTGTAAAGGACACATTTAACGTGCCAGAGATTCAAGAGAATTATACCGTTTGGCAGCGGCGGCTCGTGGCCTTAAAAAGTGGTGAAGATGAGGAAAGCTTGCCGGAGCCAAAAGGAGTTTTGGTACCTACTTCGGGCCCAAATCTGCTTGCCTGGCGTATTTTAGTTCAGAACCTTGACATTTCATTGAGGGTCTTTTGGCGATTAAAACACCACGCCTGCTAATACGGGTTGGTGAATTTCCATTCAGCCGCCCACTCGGGTCAGATGTTGATTGCAGCCGACCATTTTGGATCAGACGCAGATGTTGAAAATACTGGTTGGCCAACCATGTAAAAGAACATCCTTTTTATCTTCATTTTTCAAATGCCTAAACGGAGTCTCTAATAGATTACACACCAAGACATTAATTGGATTCATGGCTGTCTAAAATTATTTTTGTCCAAACGAAATCCACGAGAACACTTATATCCGAAATCCGTAGCAAACCACGGAGAAATGTATTAATAAAGTGCACTAAACAAATAAAATTAATACTGTGACTAAACTGTACTATACACTATACTATATAAAAAATATCTCTATATAATAGACTAAATTTCAAAATATTGTCGCTGACGGAAATTTCGGAAAAATAGGAATACCAAATACAGATGTGAAGACGGAGAATATATTTTTAGACGGAACTGCACTCGCCAGTTTTCTCAGCTATCACTAAGGATAAGCTGACGTCACGTTGCCACGGCAACCATGCAGATGGATGGATATGCAGATGGATTTCGCATTTCAAAAAACATATTCACATATTCCTGAATCCTACACGGCTAGTGACACAGCTCAGGACTTGGCCGTCAAGTACCTACTGCTAATAAAGCTAGTTGTCTTTTTTAATTTTTAGAATAATTAAAAGAGAATAAATAATTTATTTTCGAATTTAGATATAATAATGTTGCTTCCATTTTTTATTCATTTGTCTCAATTTAATTATATTTTGTCTCAACTTAATTATAATCTGCAAAGAATTGCAGATTCTTTAAAGTCCATTTACTCAAACTGCAGTTGCTGTGGTTTTCCTTAGGAAGGCACTATAGGATAAATCATCCTTTTTAAAATTCCGTTTGACGTTTTTTATTTTGGGCTTGCCAATCCGGAGATAAAGTGTTATTTTTTTACAAAACAAGAGTTAAGTTTACACCTTTCATTTACTTTATCTCTCAATTGAACTCATGCCTCTTTAGTGACCGATATAATGAAATAAACAATATATCCAAAATTATTACAAACCCTGTACAACAATATTACTAAGAGATAAATAAAAGTTTATACTATAGTACTGAACAACAATATTACTAAGAGATAAATAAAAGTTTATACTAACCAATTCTTCTGGCGTCCAAAGATTTCCTGGAGTACCAGGAATACTAAATTCGGCCATAGCGATAAAAGGCTCGTTGGTTGATGAAACACCCCAGAATTCTAAGTCATATTCTTTGTATAAATCAAAGAATTTTACGTAGTAATTAGCTAACAGTTGATATACTTCTTTTCTAATAAAACCCAAAAATCCCATGTAGCTGTTGTTTTCCTTGTATGCTGTAGGAAGCACCCATGTGCTCGAGAATAGTTTTAAATCGTTTCTTAGTAAACGTGCTCTTTTAATGAATGGTATCTATAAAAGATAGGCAGATATTAATATAGATATAGAGATGAATATGGCTTATCTTAGTCAAAAATTGATATTTAATTTTATTTAGTAAACATAAAAACTACTGTTTATCAATCTAAGAAAAGGTAAAATAACTGAGTCTGAGTTTAAATATGTTAGGATGGAAATCCGAAGTAACAAAAAAAGTGTTAAGTCTCAGCTAGTTACTTAAATAAATAACTTTAGGTTTTCCATCAAGAAGTTTAGTAATATTTTGTAAGACGTATTTAAATTTTAATAATAAATATATATTATTTATGTAAATATATCATTTTAATCAAAAATTCATATTTAAAATGTGTTTATTCAAATTAAAATATAAAACGACTTATTCTTAAGAAGTTTTTACTCACTGACTACCTAAATGGTTTAAAAAATAAATTTTAAAATGAATCCTTTTGTACCTCACAAGAAGAATTTATAATAACTATTATATATATATATATATATATATATATATATATATATATATATATATATATATATAATATAATATAATATAATATAAAATTAGTGTTATTTGGGTTTAGGTTCAATAAAATATATTACATTGGAATGTGGAACTAGATTTTATTTACCATAGCAATCTACGTATCGACAGGAAAATCTTTCCTTTGTCAAGATTCTAAAATGTACATGTATAAGAATAAACAGTTATTGTAAAATCTGTATATATATATATATATATATATATATATATATATATATATATATATATATGTATATATATATATATATAGATATATATGAATTATCAAAACGGGACATAGACATTATTGAACTGACAAATAAAAGTTGATATCTGATATCTCATGGTTTACTGACATAAGTATACAATTATTGTTATATGGGTGTATCATTGATGTTTTCGAAAAAGGTAAAGTGGAGATATGGTATGACTTTGTTGTCAATAAATGGAGTAAAGCTCAATAACCTGCGGTATGCAGATGATACAATAGTGTTTTCCAATACCATAGAACGACTGCAAAACTTAATGAACAAAATAACGAAAATAAGTGGAAAATATGGACTGGATATAAAAACCAGCAAAACGAAACTAATAATCATCATCAAGGAAAACATAACTCGAGCAAATCTGTAAGTGAACCAAATGAAAATTGAACGTGTCTCACAATACAACTACTTCTGAACTATAATCAATGAGTCGTGGGACGATACCCAAGAGATTAAATGTCGCATCAAAAAGGCAAAAAGTGCATTCTGACTATGAGTTCTGTGTTCAAGAGCCATTACCTTAACCTAGAAACAAAAATATGGCATCTAAAATGTTATGTGTAGTCAGTACTTCTGTACGGAGTAGAAACGTAGACATTGGAAGCGAAAACTCTATCAAAACTTCAGGCTTTTGAGCTATGGTCATACAGAGAGATCCTGAAGATACCATGGACAGACAAAGTCTTTTTTTGTGTGTTTTTGCTTGGACAATTGTCATTCAGCCAGTCTCAATCAAGATAAGTTTATTAATGTAGTGTGTGTGTGTCTGTGTTTGTGTGTGTAGAGTAATTGTCTTGATACTTAGCAAAGTCGACGTCATTGTCTTTGCTAAAGACGCTAATTGTATCCGAACTTCTGCGGTCCCTCCGGTGAGTACCGATCACACAAGGATAGAAATTATTTTCATTTATTAATTTTTTTTTAATAAACGAAAATTTCCACCCAGGTGGGATTCGAACTCACGACCTTTAGGTTTAAAGGTAAGCGCTCTTACCACTGAGCCACAGAGGGGGTTGACAGACAAAGTCACCAATGAAGAAATACTGCGGAGAATGAACACAACTGCGAATTTGGTCAACATCGTGAAGAGCCGTAAGCTCTTGGGAAGCCGTACTTGGGATATAATGCGAAATCAAGGTAGATACGAGCTACTTCAATGCATTTTGCAAGGTAAAATTAAAGGAAAAAGGGCCCCAAAACGAAGAAAAATATCCAGGCTTGCTAGCCTGAGAGCTTGGTATAGAAAGACCTTAAGCAGCTACTTCGTATAGCAACCAACAAAGTCATTATAGCCAGAATGATCGCCAACGTTCGGAACAGACAGGAACCCTTAGAAGGAGAAGTTTGTTAATTTTTAAAATCAAAAAACCTGCCTTAAAAGGCAGTTTTGCTTCTTCACAACGTATTGTCGCATCCAGGTAAAAGTATTCTGACTTCTGAAATAAAATTGCTGTTCTTATCGTCGAACATGACTCTACTAATTCAACCTATAAATCAAGGAGTAACTAAATGCTTTAAAAATATATATTGGAGGAAATTCGTTATATCCATTTTAGCACTGCACAATAGCGATCTGACACAGGCAATAAAAAATTCATCACAATTCAAAATTCGATAAAAATTTGATTAAAAATGTGATTTATACAGTTCGACCATCATAAACATCATTGAAACTATGAACAACGTAGAAGATCTTACAAAATTGGAAATTGACTTCTAAATTATAGATCCAGCGATAAAAACAGTGACGTTAAATAACGTCACTAATTAAATAATAATTGTGAGTAATTAAATAATAAGGAAATAATAGCTGCCACTTACACATCAGCAGTAATGTAAAAAATGGCGACGAACCTGTAGAAAATTCAAAAATCACTTATAAGTCTGCAAAGGAAGCCTTCGAGTTTGTTTTAAAATACGTCGAAATTTATGAAAATTATAAATCTAGAGATATTCGGTTGCTTAAAGGATGGAAATATAAAGCAGCAAAAGCACGAGAAACTAGGTTGAGACAAAAACAATAACAAAGTTTTTTAAAGATTGTTCTTCTTTAGCATTAATTGCCTGCATTAATAAATTTGGCATTTTGTAAAGATTGGCATTGATCGCCGAGACAGAAGAGGAGCTCCAAAGATTAACACATATCTTTAATGCAACAGCTAAGAAATATAATATGATAATATCAGCAGAAAAAAACTAAAGAATGACAACAACTAAATGCCCACTACGGCATAAAATCGAAATTGATGGGAAAATAATAAAGCAGGAAGTAAGGTTTAGATATCTGGGAATAGATATAACTAGTTACGGAGATGTTGAAGAAAAAGTACGACAACAAAGCTTAAAAGCAAGTAAAGAGGCGGGATTTCTTATTGACACAATCTGGAAGCACAATCAACTAAGACAAGATACAAAAACAAGAATCTATAAAGCAGCAATTAGACCTATATTAACATACAAGGCGAAGATAAGACCTCACACATCTAAAACGAGACGACTACCAGAAACAACAGAGATGAAAATACTTCGACGAATATCAGGGAACAATCTGTTGAATAGAAAATGAAGCGAAAATATAAGAAGAGCATGCAATATAGAAGACATAAATGGATGAGTGCGTCGTCCAATAATGGATGCAACTGATGAAGACATTTTAGAAATCATTGAAAAATTCTCTGGAACAAGTACAAGGGTAATAGATGCTCAACTAAATGTTCCTCACGTAAGGGTTTCTAGGCGTTCGAAGAATCAGCTGCTTAAACCTTATCAGTTAACAACGGTTTAAGAGTTATTGGTTGAAGACTATCCTAAAAGGATTGGATTTTGCGATTTGTTGTTAATGGAAAACACTCAAAATGTTAATTTTATTAAAAATATTTTGTTTACTGACGAGGCTACCGTCAGTAGAAATGGAATAACAAACCATCATAACGAGCACATTTGGGCCGACGAAAATCCTCACGCCGAAAAAACTAGTCATCGCCAAAGGACTTTCAAAGTTAATGTTTGGGCAGGAATTGTGGATAACAATCTAATAGGCCCAGTATTTCTTCCCAACAATTTAAATGGTGATAATTATTTGCAGTTCTTGGCTAACGATTTACAAGAGTATTTGGAAGAAGTGAATATTGCAATAGGGCAAAATATGTAGTTTCTACAAGATGGCGCTCCACCGCATTACAGTAATGAACTCCGGAAATACCTTTGCAGGAAATATCCTGTTCGGTGGATTGGAAGGGTTCGTGACGCACCTATTTCTTGGCCATCCAGAAATTTAGGTCTTAACCCCATGGACTTTTGCTTTTGGGGGTTTATGAAAGAGAAAGTGTATTCTGTAACAATAGAAGACGAACAACAATTAAGGGTTAGAATTATTGAAGCTGCAAATCAATTTCGTTAGAAAATTATGATTTTTCAGCGCATTTGGTTTTCCTTATTAGAACGATACCGAATGTATATTAAAGAAAATGGGGGTCATTTTGAACATTTATTGTAATATTTATAGAGGTTATAGACATTTTTTGTACTAGCTAATTCATTGAAGCCATTTATTTAGTTACACGTATTTTTTAAAGGTTAATGAAAAGGGCCGTAACTCAATAAAAACTGTTTTTTGGAAAAAGTGATAGAAGGCAAACAAAGTTTAAAAATAATGTGTTAAACTAATGATGCCACAAAATTCATTTGATTTGAACGTACTCAAAGTTTGGGGGATTTAGGGCTGCACCCCCTCCTTAAATTTTTTTGTGCACTTAGATTTTGTCGTTTCTTTTGTATGAAAAATTCTTTCAGAATAAAAAAGTAACGTGTCCATTTTTATTACAAAATGTCAAGTAGTTTAGGAGATAATGCAAAAAAAACAATTTTTATTTTGTAAATTGTAAATTGAAAATTCACTAAGATATTTTGATATTTATACTTTGACATTTTTTAGAATTGTTTCGAAATTATTGAAATACATTTACCTTAAGATCGATATCCTCTGGTGCCAGCTTAAAGTCTTTTAAGCTAAAATCAACACAATCTACAACGTGTTCGAGAGTGTCAAGGTAAGAATAAAAGCGTGTTGAGAAATCAGTTCCACCCATAGCAACTCTAGCCATGTTGTAGTCTAGACCATCCTCGGAGTAGTACGATCTAAAAAAGTGAACTAATTTTAGAAATTTCCAAATTCTAAATACAGAAAGGAGATATTATATTAAATTTTATTCCAATAAGACTAAGTACAAACATAATTTAAGTTGATTATGATAAGTTGGACCTTAGATTTTCGTATGAATGTTTGAAAAAGTTTATTTATAATTAGAATTTGAATATACTTCAGTTGATAATTGACAGTACAGATATCAGTATTGTTTAAAATTAAAATTTTCAAGTAAAGATGGATTTTAGTACAATTACTAAAAAAAATTGATTAGTAAAATTAGAAGAACACAGTTTTCCGGTACGTAGAAGTGAAAACTGGTAAAAAACGGTTAAAAAAATAACGTTTAGGAATTTGGCTGAGAAAAATTTAAAAATTCTTTTAATTTTTTGCTCTTTAAATTTAAAAATATTTCCAAAATTGGTTTTTAGAAGATTCTTTTGCATGATAATTTTGTTCAATAATTATACATTGTAACGAAAATTCGTAGATAAGGTATCTTTCCTAAAAATTTTTTGAAAGGGTTATTAATTACATATTTTTTTCATAATTTTACTTTAAAATAAATTTTATCCAAAGAGTTATTATTCAAATTGTTCAAACTAAACATTGCGGGTCCAGTTAGTATGTCATGTTTAATTGCCTCATTCAACAAATCAGAGTATGATCTCTTAATTGATTTTCTTAGGAAAACAAAAATGAATATAAAGCAGAAGTAGCATAAAATTTTTTGAGGTACCTAGTCAATCAAATACAAGTGACATACACAAGATGCGCATGAGATCTGTGGTTAATGAACATAAATCGATGCCAAACCTCTCTACACGTACATATGGCATTATGTGTGAGTGGTTTTAAGTAAGTAAGAAGTTTGATTTGAAAACGATTTCAAAACGAAAAATCAAAAGGTCAAACTAAACTCTAGAGGCTCATTCCTGGGTGTAAGATACCAATCCAGACACTCGGCTTGTGTATTATGTGCAGTAGTAATTCAATGTTGTTGCCATGTCATATAAATTCATTCTCTAGTCTAGCAAGGACGAGTGTGCAGTTGCAGTCTCATGTGAGCAATATATCTTGTTATAATAATTTTATTGAATATGATCAAGTGTATGCAGCACGTAATCAATCATGATCAACGTTGATTATGAAAAGGCATTCGACTTCATAGAACTTTGGTCAATAGAGAGAGCTATGAACAACTGCAGGATATAGTCCCGATACAGAATGCTCATACATAATATTTACAAGAAAACTGCAATGAAAATACAAATAGATGCGAAAACCTAAGCTATACCAATCAACAGAGGAGTGCGCCAGGAAGATGTTATTTCACCAAAGCTATTCACAATTGGACTGGAAGACGTGTTCAAAGACACTAACTGGGCAGAGATAAAGGAAGTAATGTTAATGGAAAAAAACTGAGTCATTTAAGATACGCTGATGACATTCTAATATTCGCTAAGTTTCGAAGAACTACAGACCATTATGACGCAACTATTTTAAGCTTCGTAAAAAGTAGATCCTAAGATAAACTTGGAAAAAACAAAAATAATGACAAGTCCACCGAATGTTAGAGAAATAACGTTGAAATACATAAATTTAGCCAATGTAAAACACGACCTAGCGCTGACTGCGGCTCTGACCACCAACTTCTTGTTGCAACGCTAAAGCAAAAATTCAAGGCATGTGCTAGGATCCGAAAGAAGAGGATATCAAAAATAAAAGATACACAACAATTTAAAATCCAATGTAATAAAAGATTCGAAAATATTTTACCAACTATCGTCACTCATGATTCCGAAAAGATTTGGTTATCTTTTAAAAATACCTTGATACAGACCTTGACTGACTGCGAGGCACAGTCTAATGCCGTCTCAACCGGACCAAAAAAAGTGTGGATGTTTGCAGATACTTTTGACCTCGTTGAAGAACGTAGAAAACTTAAAATTGCTGGAATCGAGAACCCTCTCAGGAATTCCCAGTACCGACAGCTATCTAGAGCTATTCAGGCTGCTTGTAGACGAGACAAAAACAAGCATATAGAGAAAATCTGCAGAGAAATTCAACTACACGCCGACACAAATAACACCAAAGAACTCTTTGATAAAGTCAGACAACTCACACGTAAATTCAAGCAGAAATCTTGGTCTATCAAAGATGATGAAGGTAATGTACAGACGGATTTGGACAAGGTTATTGATGTTTGGAGGGCGTATTGTAAGTCTTTATACGCCAATACGGACCAGATGCCAGCGGACGCCCCGTTTGTACCTGACTGCCAGACCTCCACTTTCCATTCTCCTTCAACAGAGACACACCACACTAGTTTTGAGTCTGAACCTGACATACTTTTTTCCGAGGTGGAATTCGCTTTAAAAAGACTTAAGTTAAACAAAGCAGCAGGATATGATCTCATTACTGCAGACGTCTTGAAGCATCTTCCGGAATGTGGAGTGAAAATATTACATCGATTGTGCAATGAAATATGGCACACAGGCGTCTGGCCTGAGGATTGGAGAAAGACCATAATCATACCTCTTCATAAGAAAGGTTCAACAAATAATTGTAACAACTACAGGCTATTAGCTCTAATATCACACGCCAGTAAGGTGATCCTCTACATACTGCAACGGCGTCTAGAAAACTTCATAAGTTGGCAAATAGCACCTGAGCAGGCTGGATTTGTAAAGGGCAGAGGTACTAGAGAACAAATCCTTAATGTACGAAACATCATAGAAAAAGCCAGAGAATACCAGATCCCGATATTTATATGTTTCGTCGATTATACAAAGGCCTTTGATAATGTTAGATGGGACAAACTATGGAACATATTGACGACAATGGGTGTACCTAAACACTTGACTCACCTTATTAGCAAACTGTATCAAGATAACCTGGCATATATTCGAATGGACGGATATCTGTCTGACAAATGCACTTTGGAGAAGGGAGTACGCCAAGGATGCGTTTTATCTCCCTTATTATTTAACATCTATTCGGAGTTCATAATGCGCAGAGTTTTGGATGGTTGGGAGGGAGGAGTAAACCTAGGTGGTGTTAAGATATCTAACTTGCGTTTCGCAGACGACACTACACTTCTAGCTTCTACTCCAGAAGAAATTACTAAATTATTAAAAAAACTCGAGGTAGAAAGTGCTAAATTTGGACTCATGGTTAACTACAACAAAACCAAAATCATGGTTATTGATCGCCAACAACAGTTTCCTGAAACCCAAACTATTGCGGGATGCGAGGTAGTCTCATCTATGATATATCTTGGAGCTCTAGTAAACAACACAGGCAGTTGTGAATCCGAAATTAGAAGACGCATTCAACTAGCAAGAGCAGCAATGAGTGAACTAAACGGGGTCTGGCGTGATCGTCACATTACTATGACAAACAAAAAGAGACTCGTTTCAACTCTGGTCTTTTCCATATTTTACTATGCATGCGAGACATGGACAGTCAAAGAATCAGATCGACGACGTATAGACGCCTTTGAAATGTGGACATGGAGACGCCTGCTTCGAATTCCATGGACGGCTCGCCGTACAAATATCTCGGTTCTGGATGAAATTAAACCGGATCAGCGTCTCTCTAGTACCGTTTACTCTAGGATTTTAAAGTTCTTTGGCCATATCCATCGAAGTGATCACAAAATGGAGCGGTTGGTGGTCCAAGGAAGGCCTCAGACTCAACGCCAACGCGGAAGATCTCCACAGCGATGGGCGGACATTACTAAAAAGCTCCTCAATAAACAGTATACTGAGGCAATAGATATACCTGATGACCGCGACCAGTAGAGAAATATTATCAATCAAACTGTCCGAGCTGCTGAAGCCCAATTATGAACTACAACACATCTACTAAGATGTTAATGACTGTGATGATGACATAAATTTAGAAACAGTAAGCGAATACATCTATCAGGGACCGATAATCAAAGTTAACAATAAGGATCAAACTGCCGAAATTACCAGCAGGATACGATTAGTTAAAACTAAGTTAAATCTTGAAAATTTCTCAAATAGAACAATATTTGAAAACCAGAATTTACGATCAGTGTATCCTTCCTAACATATATGAAAATGCCACCATGCATATAAAGCTGGACGAAAGCACAAAAACTAATCCCATAAGACTACAACGGGGAGTAAGACAAGGAGACACCATCTCTCCCAAACTATTTACCCTTGCTCTAGAAGATATTTTTAAGAAACTGGAATGGAGCAATAAGGGTATCAACGTCGACGGATCATACTTAAACCATTTGAGATTCGCAGATGACATAGTTTTAATAGCCGATAATATCCAAGAACTAAATGATATGTTACAACAATTAAATGCAGTTTCAGGAGCGGTAGGCTTAAAAATGAATTACAGCAAAACAAAAATACTGAGCCGAGACCAGACAAATATAACAATACAAAATCATACCATAGAAAATGTGGAACATTATGTATATCTAGGTCATGTTATCAAATTAGGAAAACCAAATCAAGATGCTGAAATTAAAAGAAGAACACAACTGGCTTGGGGCGCTTTCGGCAAACTAGCACATATCTTGAAAAACACCTCCATTCCTATAAACTTAAAGAAAAAGGTGTATAACACATGCATACTACCTGTTTGTACCTACGGCTTGGAGACAGTAGCACTTACCAAAAAATCTGCCAAAAAATTAGAAACAACGCAAAGAGCAATGGAACGAATCATGCTTGGAATATCACTTAGAGACAAGATTAGATACACCGAGATACGACGTAGAACGAAGATTAGGGATATTGTGGAAGAAATTACAAAAATGAAATGGCGCTGGGCAGGTCACGTAGCCCGATATAATGACAACAGGTGGACACGGAGAATTCTAGAATGGAGACCAAGAACGACAACAAGAAGCATGGGAAGACCTCAAAAAAGATGGGTAGATGACATAAGAGCAGTGGCAGGCAAACAGTGGATTAGATTGGCGCAAGATAGAGAAAGATGG